GCCCCGCGCGCCCCGCCGTGCGTCGCCTCGCTCGTCACGGCCGCCTTCCAGATGGGCTGCGCCACCGGCCGCAAGAGCGTCCACCCCGTGCGCGTCCCGCTCCTCGGCGCCGCCGCCGCCGCCATGCCCGCTTGGAAGCCCGTGCAGGAGATGAGCGACCACGAGCTCCGGCTGCGCATCGCCGCCGCCTCCGCGGACGAGGAGGAGGGCGAGAAAAAGGACCCTAACGACCCCGACGCTCACGTCAGGATCTGGAACCGCAGGGAGAGGCGGAAGATTGCGGGTAATGCCGCACCGCTGAGGAGGAATGTGCCCGCCTATTTGTCGACAAGGCCTGACTGCGAGGTGTACGACTATCAGGATAAGCCAAAGGGATGGAAGCCGAAGAAGAAGAACGCCAAGAGGAGACGGATGGTTAATGTGCTGTTAATGGAGGTCAAGAGGAGGGAAGGCGAGCGCATGAGGGAGGGCACTTGGTCGTCGTTGTCGTCGTCGTTGTCGTCGTCGTCGTCGTCGTTGTCGTCGTGCGGGAATGTTAGTGTTACGGATGCCAGTTGTCGGTCGTGCTTTACGAGTGTTGAAGGGAGAGTGAGACGACGGGCCAGGTACTGCCCCAGCTACAAGTGCCGGATGATGCGGTCGGGCATTGACGGTAACTTGGACCCGTCGTTGACCGAGTCGGTGACGGTGCCGCTGGACATTGGGAGCGACTTTGAGATGGAACATGCCTGGGAGTTGCCCAATTTGGTTATGTTGGCGGAGGGAGTGGCATTGAGTCGTGATGATCTGCATGTGGGAAAGCTGCCGTCGTTGCCGGGCCATTTTGATGACATGCCGTTTCAGTTGTGCTGAGAGTTTGATTATTTCATTTTTTTTGTGAGGCTTTTTTGAGGGACGAGAGGCGAAATAATGTTTTTGTTGTGTGTGCTTTGTTTTGGAGTAGAATAATAGATGATACAGTACGTAGGAAGAGATGAGAAGGATTTTTTGGTTTCTATCGCCGTTGCCTCCAGCGCGACCTTTGACCTCGTCCACAAACACTCAAACTCGTTTGGACCGCGCGCGGGGGGGCGCCTCTCGGAGGGGAAGGCCGTGGAGACCGCGCACGTGCTCGTTCTTGTTCTCGTGCGACCGGCCCTTGCGCCCATGTCTTCTGCCCCCTGCGAGGCAACGGCCCCACTCCTCCCCCCCTCCCCCACATGCCCTTCTTCCCTCTTCCTTCTCTCCTCCTCCCTCCTTTTTCCCCTTGCCCCCCCCCTTGGTTCCCCTTGGTCCCCCTTTGCCCAAAAGGGGCCCCGGGGGGCCCCCCCCCCCCCCCCCCCGCTCACCACTGCCGCTCCGAAGTAGCAAACAAGTTGTACACCACCAAGCCGACCATGTCGAACGCGATCGCCATGCCCCACACGGCCCTCCAGTCGTGCCCAGTCCGGTCGAGCACCACGCCGGACACATACACCCCCACGACCCCGGCCACGCTCGCAAACGTGTTGGAGATCCCCAGCAGCGTCCCCGCCACGCGCGGCCCGATGTCCTGGTGGTTTGCGTACACCCCGCTCTGCGAGAAGGCCGCCAGCCCGAGCCCCGCGCTCACGCACCCCATCGCCTGCCCCGCCGTGCGCGCCGCGCACACCAGCCCCAGAAACACCGCCGCCCCGCAGAACCCCACGCTCTGCATCGTCTTGCGCGTCCGCGTCGTGCTCCACCCGCGCTGCAGCAGCCCGTCCGCTACCCGCCCGCCCACGTTGGCACACGCAAACATCGACACCCATGGCACCGCCGCTACCGCAGCCGACGCGCCTACGTCTAGCCCGAACGACGAGTTCAGGTACGACGGCAGCCACGCAAGCACCACAAAGTACCCCCACGTCACGCAGAAGTGCCCCACGATGATCGCCCACACGCACCGCCGCGACATCATCTCTCGCACCGACGGCAGCTCCCCGTCCTGCGCCCCCGCCTTATCTTCCGCGTCCGCGTCCGCGTCCGCGTCGTCGCCGCCCGCCACCTTCTCGTACGTCCCGCCGCCCGCCGCCGCCGCCGCGGGCGCCGCCGAGGTCGTTGCCAGGAACAGCGCCACCCACGCGATGCCGACCAAGCCGAAGACGTAGAACAGGGCCTGCCAGCCGGCGGCGCGCATGACGCCCGGCGCGGCCACCAGGCCGAGGATGCTGCCAGCGTACATGCCCGAGTAGACCAAGCTGAGCGCGCGCGCGCGCTCGGCCGCGGGCACCCACGCGGCGACCATGGCGTTCATGGCCGGCATGGCGACGCCCTCGCCGATGCCGAGCACGACGCGCGCGGCGAGCAGCGCGGGCAGCGCGAGGCGCGCCGCGACGGGCGTCAGCAGCGTCGCCACCGACCACGCCAGCACGCCGCCGGCGAGCACCGCGCGCCCGCCGCGCCGGTCCGCAACCATCCCGCCCGGGATTTGCGTCGTCATGTAGCCCACGAAGAAGGCCGATTGCACTAGCCCTTTCGTCGACTCCGACCACGAGAAGGCCTTCCCCATGGGGATGATCGCCACGGACAGGCTGATCCGGTCGATGTTGCAGATGACAAAGGAGAGGAAGCAGTGCAACACGATGACATGGCGTGCGGCCGGGGGTGTTTTCGGTGGGTCGCACGGCCCGGAGGGCGTGCCCGGCCCGTCGTCTGACACGATGTGCTCCAGCACCTCCTCTGTTAACGTGCTCATCGCGACCGCGCCGTAGTCGCCGCAGGCATCTGGGCGGCGAAAAGATGGGATTTGGGCAGGTCCCTCAATGGGGCCGAGTCACTATCGACGTCGCTACCGCGGATGGGGGGCGACGGTGTTCTAGGGGCCGGGAAATACGGTACCCTTGATTCGCCGGCCTGGGGGAGGGGGGTTTATTTGGAAGCTTTTTAGAGCCCCCGAAAGAGGCCGCTTGGGTGATACGGTATTTGTACACGGTAGCGGCCGAAATTGCCACGACAGACTGTACAGTAGCCGGTGTGGCAACAAACGCGCTTGACACTCATCGGGATGAGTGAGTAGAAGGTTGTGAGTCTTAACAGGCTGGCAAGGCGTGCAATTGCTGGAGCCCGGAGCCCGGAGCCCGGGTTGAGCGGTTTCGGTTGCCGCCCTTGTCCAGCTTGGGACTACACATACTCTACGTCGCGGCGTGGAGGGCGTGGAGGGCGTGCAGGGCGTGGAGGGCGTGGAGGGCTTTGTCTCTGGACTACAGAACAAGGGACAAACTCCTGGCTGCGTTCCTTTTTTTTTTTGTTTTTCGCAATTAAACTGCCAATCGGCTTTGACGCCCAACGGTGGAAAGCTCACACTGTATAATGCTCAAGCTTATAACATTCCTGCGTTTTCTTCCATCTCGGCAAGCATTAAACCAGTAGGTTGCAAGTGTGCACCAGCTACCCTTCGAAGGGTAGGCATGCAAGTTTCAAGCCTCTTGGTTTATGTTGTAATAAGGACTTATTTAAGTCTTCCCTGGCGAAACCCGACAAAGAGGAGTACTGTACCCTTGGTACTGTACTGTACCGGGTACTGTAGTGGGTACACTGCGCCACTGTGGTGACGAGACGATGACTCCGATTTACTTTCCTCTCACTCTCTCTCTCTCTCTCAGGCCGGTCTTAACAGAGCACTCACATTCTCTTTAAGACTCGTGACATAGCGCCGTTGTCTGTGCGGCGTTGTGAGCCGTGTATTACGTGTGCACGTGTGTGCATGTATGGTTATCATTACAGCCACCAAGCTCGAAAGTCAGCCTGCAGGGTTTTGCGCATCTTTAATCGAGCGAAATGTCGCATTCTTAAAGGGTAGTACAGTGGATCCTCGCTAACTGCATGTTCGGTTTCTGCATATTCTCGATTACTGCATGCGTTCGTCAGCTACCGGCTGCGGAGCAGCGATTCCAGCCTGTATATGATATTGAACTGTAGATATCTGTTCTGATGCACGTGCGCGTACCGAGTGCTTCCCGCAACAATTTCTGTACGGACGAGCTGCGAGATAGCTTGGTCGAGCTTTGACTGACACCCTGAAGTGGTCGTGTTTTCGATGCTTCAAGCCATTTGGCAATGTCGGAACATACAAGCTTGTACAGTTGTCTACGTGACCACCAGATACGAAAGCGCTGCAGCTGCTTCCTTATTTTTGTGTAGTAAAGGCTCCCATTGCGTACTGCACGTGAACATTTCGCACATCACACGCACGTGTACCTGTGCGGGGAACAAGGGTAGCCTTCCAGGGTACAGTAGTGCCCGTCGCCCTCGGACAGAGGTGTTCCCCGCGCAGGCAAGCGAGACAAAAATTGGGACGACAGTTATCAGGGTCGCGTCACAGTGTTGACAGGAAATTTGTGCAGGCCCGAGGAGAAAGCATGTGCAAAAGCAATTGTTAAAAGTGCACACTTTTTGACGTACGGTACCCTTGGTACTGTACTTTGTACCCTCGCATGGTACACTTGTACAGTACCCTTCGTAACACACGGCTGCCCCACATGGGGCATTTGTGGACAAGCAGTGCCGGAATGGCTGACGCTTTCGTAAAGGGGGCCGGCCTTCCCTACAAGAACCGGGTTCTCCACCCGTATACCTTACATCTTTATTTACAACAGAGCTAAGACCCTACAAGAACAGACATTCGTGTTCGCATCCACAGGCGTGCGGCACAAAACTGTGGACCTTGCACAGCATGCTGTAACGGTACCGTAGCTCTATTCATTACTGCAATGGTGTCTAACACCGTAGTCTGCTGTGACGTGCGAATTGGGCACCCTAAAGTATCTCAATCGATATTGATCGTTGAAGTCCGCAGAAAGTAAGTATCAAGGTAGGGCCATCAATCGGCAGGGCCATCAATCGGCAGCAACAGGTGCGACACAACATTCGTGATCTACCCTTGGGTAGATCACGAATGTTGTGCAGCATTGAAGGGTAGTCGTTAACACGAGGTGCGATAAGTGTAAATGACGACAGGCGGGTTTGAAACGACTATTTTGGTTGCCCTACGACACAGCTCTCTCGTGTTTCAAGAGCATGAAAGTCTCTGCCTGGACTCCTGGACTCTCGAGTTTTGGAGTTGGCGTAGACTCGATTGCGAAGATTTCGGACACTACGGAACGAATGCCCCGGGACAAAAGTGTGCTGCTGCGAAAAGAGGATCACCAAAATGATACAGTACCCTTGGGTAATGTACCCTTCGTAATTTTACTGTAGACGGCCGCCCCGTTTCACAAGGATCACGAATCGTGACATCAGCCTGCACTGTAGCACACACTCAGGAGCTGCGGCGAAATCCTCGAATCGGTGCGGCGCATGTTTCAGGTGCGCCGCTCGGGGAAGCTTGAAGCGGGTGTACCCTGTACCCTGTACCCGTTGCGGGGCGCCTTTCCGCGGTCCACGCCCGTGACACCAGCCGGACCACGCCGCGCGGGGAATCCGGGGGGGGGGGGGGGGAAAAAGGGGGTGCCGGGGCAGACCCTTACAAATGCCGCTATAGATGTGACCTCAAGT